ATCTGTGATATTAATGTCGCCAAATTCAATGTTAAAATTACAAACAAATTGGGATAAGCACGGATCAGTTACGTATCAAATTATATCGACTACGCAACAAAATAATTCTAAGGATCAGAATGCTTTAAATTTAGCATCAAAAACTTTTACTGTTGACAATGGGATCATCAAGTCAGGCGACCATTTTGGAAGAACTATTATTTCCATCACAAACGTAGAAACATATAATGTAAAACAGACATTAACCGTCATTGTCGATGTAAGTTAATGTAATATTTTGTTTTAATAGCACGTATTCGATATAACACGATCATAATATGTAATATGTGATAAATTTTACTGCAGGTTAAACCGATTCATTACATGATGCTTTCTTTACATTCAAAATTACGTATCAGAAATGGAGAAGAATTGAATATGTTACCCAAAGGAATGGAATTGGATTATATTGTAGAATATTATGATAATGTTGGTATGAAATTTCATGCTGCTGAAACTAACGTAAAAACTACATTAAATCGCGTTGATTTGGCAACGTTTACAACTAATCCTGGAAATTTAATAACTACTAAATTTATTGAAAACGGAGAATTAGTTGTTAAAATATTTAGTGATAAATATCCTCAGGGAATGTTTGATTATGTACATATGAGACTTGGTGATATAGTTTTTCCAACAAAGGTAATACTTATAATACTTTTTCTTTTTTTTTTTTTTTTTTTAATCATATTCGTTATTTTAATCAATACGATATTATTTTGTAGACTACTTTGACTGTAGGTGATATTGTATGCTTCTCTATGCCACTTCTTTCACCTGATGGTGATCCAGGCTACTGGCAGTCCACTGCACCTGATATATTAATTATTGATCCAATAACTGGTATAGCTAGAGCAAGGAACGTAGGACATGCTATTGTCAAGCATAGTCTTGCCAGTCATATGCAGGGTGAGATAGAAGTAACGATTCAAGCAATATCAAAGGTATTGTGAATTCATACTTGTAACAGTATAAAAACATGTTTAGAAAAAAAAAAAGAAACAAGATATCTTATATATTTATATTTTCTATAGGTATCAATAGTACCATTACGAGGTAAAAATGTAACTGGCTTTGAAGTATTTAGTGTACCACTCGTACTTAAGAGTAAAGATGAACAGATTAAAGAAAATAACGTATTGTCAAGAGGTTTAGGAGGATGTAGAACTTATTCCTCATTCGCACTTACTTCTTTTCCATATACATGCAATATAATCCTTGTACCAAGTAGCTCAATTGGTGCAAAAGATATGTTTCTCGTTAAACCTCGATTTAGTATTGTGACTGGTTAGTTTAAAACAAATTATATTTATCAATGTCAAATAAAAAAACTATACATTTTTTTTTCTTTTATTATTATTATTATTATTATTAATTATAGGTTTCTATTTTTCATATAGGTTTCTATTACTGCGATATAATACCAATGGGTTCACCAAATGTAGCTCTCAGTACATTAGAAGCTCGTATACAAATTAGTGCACGAAGTCGTGATATTGAAGCAGTTCCTTTAGAACTAACATATCTTCCACCTATATATGTTAGCACGAAAGAAATATTGTTTATTAATCCACATTCTCAAACAGTGCCAATTGCCACATTAGACATTTTTGGATTACGATCAGTATTGGAACATGTTACTGTAAGTGATACTATTTTTTTTTTTTTTTTTTCATATACCAAGATTGTTGACCGTATCATTATTTATTTTATATTATTTTTAAGGTTGAAGTACCAGATGGAATAACTATAAGCGGTCAGTTAATATCCAAATCTGGAATTCAATATCGTCTTCGTTTAATGAATAATCAAGATGATGTCCAAGGACAAAAAATAATGATAGCAAATGAACTTACAAAACAAAATATTTCTGTAAGTTCTAATAGAAAAAATATATTGATATATGATACTAATACTTAACTTAATATTTGTATTTAATTTTCAGCTTTTCATTCGTATTTCAAAGTATGATCATTTCATGCCATTCTCTGGTATTCAATGGGTTGATTATGTATATTTTCACCGATACACATTTGGAACATTTGCTGTTATTGTGATAACTTGTTTCTACAGTAAGATTAACTCTATTAATTCATGATAATGTTTACATTTAATTGTTATTCATTAAATTCATATAATCATAATAACATAAATTTTAATTAATAAGAAAAATCTACATCATGCATAATATTATATATTTTTCATTTTCAGTATGGAAAAATAAAGTGGCGAACGTCGACTTAACGATAAAGAATAAAAGTGTATTTGGTATGTATTAAAAAAAAAAATTTAATCTGTAAGTACATGTATACTTGGGGGAAAAGAAAAATTAAAATGTGTTTCATTTGCAGCTGATAAATGTCCACCACCAATAAGAAAAACCAGCACACCATATTCTACTACTATGAATACATCAAATATGTCTAGTCCTCGAAGTCCAACTTCACCATTAAGACCATTTTCTGCATTTGAACCAGTCTATGGTGATCCTCGTGGTCTTTTCACACCATCAGTTAGACGGAACCGAACTTTGAATTGAATGGTTAATAAAAAGTATATGTGTTAAAACTAACCATTCTAATTTTCAGTGATAAAATCATTGATGAGAGTGTTCTATATTACTATTATTATTATTATATTATTATTATTAATATTATTATTATATGTAAAAGTTCTTATAGAAAATCTGCATACAAATATGCATAATGTACATTTTGTAATATAGTTTTATACCATCAAATTTTGTACGGTAATCAAGACTGTATAAACACATCAATAATAGGAGCTATAAAATTGTGTGATTAATGTTTGAGCTGCTACTTAATAGATTTAGTTATTGTTGACTGGCAGGTTTGTGCTTCCTAGTCGAACATTCACGCTTATAATTATGAAAACAAAAAACCATCTTGTGTTTATTCTTTCTATGTAAAACAAGAAATCATTTTTATATCGTTTTACAAATTATAATAATATATAAATCTCGTGTACTTACATATTACGTCTGTTATAAAGATTAAAAAACTTATTTTATTACTTATTTTTTTGATAAGACGCATCGAACGTGTGAACAAAAAATAGATAAAATATGAAGAAAAAAAACAAAAAACATACAATGTATGAAAATTTAAATAAAAGTTATTCTTACAATTTTTAACAAATTAACACTTGGCTTTTTTGTATAAGTTTTTTTTATGCTTATAAGAGACGCCAAATGAATTGTAACAATTTTATATATATAAAAATTTCAAGATAATAAAATTATTTATCATACTTTTCTTATAATCTAAAAATAAAAAATAATTCTTTGAAAAAATGATATATACGAATAGATCCAAAATAGTTCTATGAAATGTTTTTTACAAATATATAAATGCTTTTGTCATTTAATAAAAAGTCGGCAATATTTATAAATAATATCTATTATAAAAATAGATGCACATACGATGGAACAGTCGAATCCCTTACAACATTGCTAGTTAATCTTCTTATAAATGACCTAGATTTTATTATAATTTAATATTTGTACAAAACACACACACTTAATGTTTTTTCGTAGTTTTCAACAATTTCTCGTATTTACTTTTGCTGGAATACCACAATGCGAATGGAATAGCTAATGATGGTAAAGTCATTATAGCGAATCCAGCCCAGTCAATCTGAAAATGATTCATAATAAGAATAAAATCTTGATTTTAAATATTTAATAAACAAAATATTTACCACATGGGATGAAAATTGTTTATCATAATCTCTAAATGAAACAATCAGTCCTTCACCAGGTTCACTGCTTACTGCAACTTGAAGCCTAGAAGCGTCTTCTTTACGTCGATATAAAACTTCGGCAGATGTGAAGTTAAAGTATCCAAATTTACGTGGTCTTACAACCACTGTATGACTCACATTTGTAAATGGTGGTACTCTATCTATTCTAGCATTAAGCTCTCCGCTTACATGAGTAAAGTGATCAGGATGGAAAGAATTATCAGTAATTTCAACTTCTAATGCAGCTGCATTACCAATGTTGTAAACTGTGTACTATTAATTATAGGTTAAATAAAGGAAAAATCCTTTTTCTTTTTATAAACAACTAATAAATAATATGACAATTTACCTTTACTATAATATCCATATTTTCTACTAGATATTTATTAAGAATTTGTTTAGATACTAACAATCTGGCAGCTTCTTCCTCTTCCTCTCCATATACAGTTATATATAATGCAGCAAAAGCTGCGAGTAAAATATACCACTTCATTCTATAAAATCATATAAAATAAAAAGTTATATATATCGACATTTATATTATTAATAAATATTATATACATGATAGAAATTAATATTTTTAACATCCAAATTAATTACATATTATCGTTTGAAATATACCTTTAAAAAAATATCTGTAAATGATTATTACAAAAATAATTTTACATTTATTTAAATTCAATTATTGTTTCGTATTGAAACATAAAACTATTTGAAAACATATTATATAGAATTTTATGAAAGAAAATGACAACAATTGGTTAAGTAACTCGTTCGTTTAAAGATTATTTAATTTAAAATGTGTATATGATTGATAAGTTTTTTATCGAAAATATTGTAAATTTAAAAATTTTTACCTTGTTAAACCGCCTCGTTCGTGTCAATTACAATACTATAACACTACACGCGTAAAGACATTGGAGCAAGTGCCAACAGCGCCCCGTTTATTGCCACGTTTCGATGGAAGAAACGTCTTTCGTGTACACGAATTACTTCCGGCAAATAGTATTTAACGAAATGGCGCCGAAAATGAATCCATTTTAATTGTGATTACGAACAATTGAGATTATTGACAATTATAGGTTTATATTCTTAAGATTATTATATTATTTCAGACAATAACATTTCATTTCATTGTTAAAAAAAAGCGATTAATTTCAAATTAAAATTTTATAAGAGGTTAGAATAAGTAACGTAATAATTTTTATATCGAACTTACACCAATTTTAATATATTATAATATATTAGAAAAAAAAGATTCTAGGAAGTAATCTTTTTTGATAAACAATGACAGCGAAGGTATATCAACCTGATCAAGAATTGGAAACGAAAGTGAAGAAAGGTTAAAAAAATTTATTAGAATAAGCATTCCCTTATAGCAAAAAGAAAATGTTTCTTTTATAAATATATATATATTTATTTCTTGTAAATTTATTATTGATTATTTGTTTTAGCAACTGAACGAATATCTGAGAATATGCATATAGTGGCAAACGAACCGTCATTGGCATTCTATCGACTTCAAGAACATGTTAGAAAGGCATTACCACCTATGGTAGAAAAAAGAGTAGAAGTATTGGCTCTTCAACAACAACTTCTAGGCAGATGTTATGATGTTGAATATGGAGTTAGCGCGATTAAAGGAATGCACGGTGCTGCGAAAAGTTTTGAGAATACTTTGGAGTTCATAAAAAATGCAATATTTTTCAAGCAACAATTAAAGTACGAAGAACAACGAAGGCATAAAAAAGATGGAAATAGAGATTCGGTTTATAAAAGACTATCTGCACACATTCCTACATTGGATCATTTACCGGATGAAATATCAGATGTTGTTAGAGAAACTGCGAATAGAGTAGAATCTATGATGAATCATGCTAGGCATTCTGGAGAATTACAAAGATCAAATACTGTTCATAATTAAAAGGATAAAGATTTCTTTTCCTATTGTTCAGATAGTACGTTTTTTCTAATTTATATTATCAAATTTCAGAAAATTTCATAATATTAAATAACAGATATAAGATTGATATTATAATTTATTTGTTACATATATTATATACCACATATATCATCTGAAATTGTTGCATGTGAATGTTTTGTGAGTGTTTACATATATGTAATATGTTAATAATATTGTTATTAATGATTACAAATTCTTTAATGAATATTGTAATATTCTTTTGTTAATAAAAAATATTACAACCTTATATACATACACACATACATACATACATATATATATATATATATATATTTATTTATTTATATTACAGTTAAAATAATTACAAAAAGAAAAAGAGAATAGAAAGAAATTGGTTGAATTTGACGCGATCTGATGGCTAGTCCACATGTATTGTCCCGTGACATCTAACGCGTCGAAAATTGAATATAGTTTTATCTGAAAGAGCCATAAGTTTTGTAACCGCGAATCTTGAGATGTGTTTATAAAATATATTAAATATCATTACTTTTAAACTTATGTTGCAACTAATAGATCTTGAAATGGATTCTTTTGTTGAAAAAATGATTTTTCTTAATAATATAAGAATATTATTGTTCCATAGTTGGTAACAAAAGGGCGTTGACACGCAATCAGAAAAGCGAACCTAGAGAGACACGTGAAGATGCGTCTTTGACTATCTTTTATTATATCAGTGGTTGCACTGTTAAAAATTCGTTATATTGGTTGACTTTTATATGAATTCATTACAAACATGTCAATTAATTTAACAAAAAACAAAGATACGTTGGTGGCCGCTTGGCACAGTGTAGTCGACGATAAATCGTCTACTAACTGGTAGGCTTTTTGAATTTTTCATGCTTCAATACATTTTTGTTTCATCACAAAAGTGTAATAAATTTACGTAAAAAATATATGTATAAATATTAATTACATATTTTATTATTTGAATACTCTTTATTTTGCGTTTCTCTCTCTCTCTTTCTCTCTCTTTCACTTTCTCTCTTGCTATATATATATATATGTTTGTAGTATTACTAATAAGGACATAGATAATGGTTTTTACCTGTCATAAATTTTTGTATGATTTTAAAAGGTCAAATAAAATATAAGTTTCCTTCTTACATTAAAAAGAATTATTTATATATATATATATATATATATGTGTTTCTACAGGGCTGTATTTGGGTATGAAGGTCAGACAAATAATTTGAAAGTTGTTGGTACAGGGAATGGTGGATTAGAAGAAATGATTGATCATTTAAGTAGTAGTCATATTATGTATGCCTTCTGTCGTGTGATTGATACTAAAACAAGTCTACCAAAATGTTTATTAATCAATTGGGTGAGATACTTTACCTAAATCAAATAACATTGATAAGTATAAATATACATTATCATTATATTATAATGATATGTAAATATGTTTTCTTTTCTTTTTTTTTTTTTTTTTTTTTTTAGCAAGGAGAAGGTGCACCTATTGTTAGAAAAGGAACATGTGCAAATCATATTAGAGATGTAGAAAAATTATTAAAAGGCGCACATATAACAATTACTGCTCGTTCCGAAGATGACGTCGAAGTTGACGCTATTATGGAGAAACTTGCAAGAGCTACTGCTTCCGCTTATAAATTTAATGAACCACGTAGCGAAAACGATGCACACGCAGGCCCTATCGGCACGACATATAAACGGTATGTTTTTTTTTTTTTTTTTTTTTTTTTAATGCAATATTGTATACTATTGAAGATTGATTTTATATCTTATTTTATAGAGTAATACCAGAGCAAGAAATTAATGCAACAGAGAGAGATCAATTTTGGCAAAGAGAAGAAATTGAAGAAAAGAAAAGACTGGAACAAGAAAGAATTCGAAATGAACAAGAACGTCAGAGATTAGAAAAAGAAATTAGAATGAGAGAAGAGAAAGAGAGTCAACTGAGAGAACAACAGGTTTGTAAATGACATTTATTTTTTTTAACTGCTAATCGTTAACTTTTATCATTGTAACATCGTTAATGTTTATTAAACATTATCAGGTATCTGCTAAGGAAAGTTCAATAGCAAGACAAAAATTAGCAGAACAACGTGCAGAAGAAGCAAATAATTTACGTAATCGTATAGCAGCTAGTCAACAATATAATGAAGATAATGACGATGATCATAAATCTAGAAGCGAGGAATTAAGAAGACAAAGAAGCAAAGAAGCGCAGCAATTAATTGCTCAAAGAACAATTAATGCTAGAGCTGTTTTTGAACAAAATTCGGCTGCTGGACAAATGAAATCTTCTCAGGTCCAACATTCTTTGCAGAAAGGTGGTCATGTAGAAGCTGCTAAAAAAGCAATTGAGGAAAGCCAACAAAAGGAACATGTAGATATTAAACCTCAAGAAGCAACACCAATAGAAGTGAATAAGATAAACGATACAGAAACATTAACGAATTCTGCTGCAGAAGTGGTAAATACTATCTCATCTCATGATTCAAAAATATCTTCACACGAACCAGAGACTGAACAAACTAATAAGGAAGATATGACTGATAATGAATTATATAATCAGCTTGATGGTTCTTATTTATATTTTGATCCAAATAATGAGGGTATGAAAGCAAGAGCTTTGTATGATTACCAAGCTGCAGATGATACAGAGATTACTTTTGATCCTGGTGACATAATCACTCATATAGATGCCATTGATGAAGGTTGGTGGCAAGGATTGGGCCCTGATGGGACATATGGATTATTTCCAGCTAATTATGTAGAAGTTATTGATTATAATACAACATGATAGAGGATATATTTTGGATAACAACAACAACAAAAAAAAAGCAGAAATATTTGGAAGTTTTTTCTTCTTTATATGTGAGAGATACTTGACAGGTTTTTAAATATCAGCAAGTGTTTCATGATATCAGAAGTTAAATTAAAATTTACAGTGATATGATTAGGTGAAATGTTTGCAATATTAATTGACTATTTAGTATTAATAATTAATATTATGAAATTATGCATTTTATAGTTTTAGATAAAGGAAATAAATATGTGCACATTTTTAGCGTTTGTAATATGATTATTTAAAACTAGATTTTATAGTATTAGAAAAAAAAATGCCATTAACATATTAATTGGGAAGATTTTTATTTAAAAAATTATATTGCCCATTAGTCTTCATAATAAAAAAAAAAAAAGGAAAAAAGTCTTCCCAAGTATTACATCATAAAATATAAAAAAGCTAAACTTAGGTAAATATATCTTTTTATAACATTCTATATCAGAACTGATATAATAGTCACAATGTATTTAGAAAAGATTACTTAAATATGCCCTGTTAAAGTATTATATTTAAGCATACGCCATAATTTAACCAATAAAGATTGAAACTTTGACATAGCACATTTATGATATTGATAATATCCTTCTTCTCCTTACATATTGTAAATTTTATGTACAAAATTGTTTTTATTAGCAACATATAATATACAATATTACCTTCATTTTACTTTAGATATATATATAATGAATAAAATGATAAGATTATGAGACACAGTATTCGTATTAAATCTATTTTACTATATGATATATAAATTTGGATAATGGTAAGTAATATTGGTCAGGAAAATAATCGTAATTATTTTAGATAAATAAAATACATAAAATCATCTTCGATAATTTTGACTTTGATTACCACTTGTACTACCAGTCCCACTAGCATGACTTAAGAATGCTAAATGTCCTTTAGGACACTTATTTGCATAATGACCTTTTTGACCACATTTATAACAAGTAACTTCTTCTAATGGTTTTTGAGGTCCTCTTTGAGGTGGCCCATTATGCATATTAATATGATGATGTGGATTATGAGAACTACCTTCCATTTCTTGTCTAACTTGTGCCTCTCTTACATCCGGAGGCATTTTATTACAATAAATTGCTTTATGACCACCTTCGCCACAGAAATGACAAGTAATCATAACTTTCTTTCCTTCTTTTGGTTGCATGTCTTGTACTGCTGGTAACTCGAATCTTGGACTAAAAATAATCGTTAAACTATAACAATCTGCTCATATCTATAACATATGTGTTTTACATAAATTATTATTTTTTATTATTATTTGTCAACTTACTGCATGAATTTACAATTTGGACCTTCTGGACAAAATCCAGCTAGATAGGCCATACAAAGTACACGTCTTACATGCCGATGTCTGCATAATGGGCCATGTCTGCAAAATCCACGATCGTACCATGGACAATCGCGTACCTTAGTTTCAGGGTCAATGTGTAAAAATGGACATTCCTTATTGTGACAAGCATCTAAAGATTTATTAAAGAATTAATTTTCATTTCTTTATTATGAGACTATCAAATATCAATAAATGAAATACTCACTAAATCTGGAATAAAAGTAGCATTCTGGCATTTTTGTCATGTCATATTCATGTAGAAATTCACACTGATCACCTTTTTTACATAATCCTCTTAACCAATGTTTACATACAATTGTACGATCTCCTCGAACATGTCTAAACGGACAAGAGGCTCCTTTTACACATGTACCTCTAGGATAAAATTGACATACTGCAGCAATTGATTCTAAAATTGATTTTACCACCATTAATCTATCTAATAATTAATAAAAATAAATTGTCGTTTTTTTTTTTTATTATATCACTCTATGTTCTAACACAAATAGAAAAAATGATGTACTATACCCTTTCTTTTCTTTTTAAATTACATATATATAAATTATAAATAAATTAATATAATAAATTATGAATATTTTTAAACATAACCTATTTTAAAAATTACTTACTATCCATTCCGGTAAATGGTAATGATAATGCTCCATACTGCTCATCTAGAGCGATTTCAATATCAAATCGCATATGATCTACATTTGCTACAATACATTCCATTTTAACACGATTAAATTTGTAATTATACACATTCAAATATTTATATTATATACACATGAAATGTTATGATTGACATAACGCGTTTCAAGAAAATTGAAACTGCTTATTTAATTCAGTACTAACAACCTTGTAAGTATAACTATTGAAGAATTTAATGGCCGGACTGAATTAAATTTTTAAGTTGGCAACACTGCTACGGGCGATATTACCCGGCATCGTTAATTTTTATGTGGTAAGTAATATCGTAAAAATTATTTAAACAATAATTAATCGATTTTATTATTATATACAACAATTTATGCTTTTTCAAACATCTATAATAACAAATATATCATATAATATGATTTTTACATATTATATAAAGATTAAGATAAAATCTTTTTTCGCTTTTTCTAATACGAAAAATTCTTTTGAACCGTTGATCGGAAAATTTGGTGATTTTTTTTTCAAATAATTTCCAATATTATGTGAAATCGCGAAATTGACCTTCGAATTTGATTTATTAGATTTATCTCTAAAAGATCAGATAAAAGTTGTTATGATTTACGAATAATAATACGTATAATAATATTATAAAATTAGAATAAATCTATTACGATAAAATAAAGTAGGTTATATAGTAAATTATATATGTATATATTTATATATACATGTTCATATAATAAAGGAATAAATAATTAAAAGTAAAAGAATTAAATATATAATTAATATATAAAATATTTCGAAAGGAATATGATTGGCATTTGTTTATATATCGAACATATAATGAAGCTATTTGTATTCAAATAGCTTATAGTATCTTTTAAATAATTATTTGTTTTGTGCTTCTCGTAAAATTACAGAATCTTAGAGTTTATCATTCCGATATTATTTACTTCGTTGAATTTTATTTTATATATTTTTTCTTTATTTCTTATTTATTAGGTACCAATATAACGTCATCAGATCAACGAATATGAAGCTAAGCTTTTGTGAAATACCGCATGGTGGTGTTTCGATCGTCCTTTTTCCAGAATGATCGCAACCACAAAAAAGAAATTCTTCATGGTAATTATATTTTAAATTAATTATATCAATTTTAAAATTTATATCTAGAGTATGAATTAATTGCTATTACAGTATTACGAATATGTTTTATGTTTGAATATTAAAAATGATATTGTTAGAATCGAGTTAGAAATAAATAAAACTGATCAAATGAATTAACGATCGATAGTCATGTCTGCTAGATTTGAAAATAATCATTACACTTAAGATTCTGCATATTTCTAAGGATTTTGAAAAGACAAAATAAATCTTTGATTTACGATTATTCTTTTTTAATTTATTTAATAGGACTAATGTCTAATTTAAGTTAAAAGATAATTTATCTTTGAAATATTTCGTTATAAAATGTACTTTTTATTACAGTTTGACTTTGATTAAGAATAATGTGAGAAATGATAGGAAGAAATATATATATATATATATATATATATATATATACATATATATATATAGTCAATCAAGCGTGGGCTCAGAACTATGTAGAATCGCCCACGCGAATTTCACAGCATATATAGGTTAACTGCAGGGCGAATAGTTCGGCAGTGTACCTGAGACCGCGATGAATGCACACGTAAATCGACATTGTAAAAAATTTCGTGAATTTTCTTCTTTCTTTTTTTTTCGACGATTATCTTTCTTTTCAATTATTTTCAAGTGTCGTTAGTGTATGAAAAAAAAAAAAAAAAAAAGAGTAACGTGCGAGTGATGATATCTTTTATTTTTTCTAAAGAATTTTTGATTTTCAAAAGGATTAATACATTTTTTCGTTTTACAAATCTATATGCCATTCAATAGGTACGAACGTTGCGCACTTAAACCATTTTGAAATTCGCGCCCTTATCAACGGCTAACGATCGTCGTTTGTTTTCTCGTTTCGATATCGATAAATAGATTGATCGTCTAATTTCTTGATAATTGTTTAGTATATCCACATGCGTGCTAGTCCGTACATCAGTGCGTGTTCGCGTATTCTTTTATATAATACATTTTTTAGAAATATTATATATAATATTATATAGATCTCTGTATATAAATATTATATAGTGATTGGTCAATAAGTAATGTCAAAATTTGTAGTAAGTATCTAATTAAACAATATTGAACGTATCGACATATTACTATCTAATTAAATATTATTATATTAGCGTTCTTTATTTAGATGGGATGCATTTATTTATCTATACAGACAAAACACATTAATTATTGATCAATCCAATATAAATTATGACAATGTATGTATATCATTTTGTTTGTTTTCTTTTTTTTTTAAGTAAAGTTTTACAAGTGAAAATTCGTGTGACTGTACAGGTTAACGCGTTCGTTCGTTGTTATTGCGAGAGGAGTTCGAATTCTGATTGGCGTCTCTACAAAATGCAGAACGTGCGATGAACCATTGATTGATGTATAATGAACTGATAGTGACGATATGAAAATTTTCCGAGAGAATGATCATTGAAGACAATTCAAGATTGCATCAACGTGTAACTGTAAGTACCTATCCCTTTAAGCGTTATTTTTCAAATGCTATATTTTTCTCTAAATTATTTATTTTAAAATTCAAATAATGCTATGTGTACACACACACACACACTTTGTAAACACGATTTTTATTATTATTATTATTATTATATTATCAATCTAATATCATTATGATCTAATGATTTGTATTGTTTATCATAGAATAATTACGTTCTCTTAAATTAATGCACACGTTTAGCGAATATTAGCATACGATGTTTCATGATACAATTATTATTATAAGAGCTTATTAAAATATGTAAATGATCCTGTAACTTTTGTGTAAGTTACAAAGAGCGATGATATTACTATATATATATATATCATTGGTGTGTATCTTATATATATATATAAAAGATCTTATATAATTATATGTCATATTGCATCGATGTGTGTACGCGAGAGTACACATTTACTCACTGGATTATTAAAGAAGAATAGAGACTGAATATCATGTGTATGTATGTGTTATATGCGTCTATGAACGAGAGAAAGGGAGGATAAAATATCGAGAATTCATAAAGAGGTATAGAAAAAGAGGGAAAGAGCTTATCGATGGAAGCGCTGTGTAGTACGTTTATCCGAAAATCCGATGGGACAAAAGCGAGTAAAGTACTGATACAAAGGACTGATATTTGATATGGAATATGTTACGAACTAACGACTCGTCAAACGATGTGTTAACAATTCTTTCTTTCTTTCTTTTTCTCTCTTTTTTTTTTTTATATGTAATATATCCGTTATAAAATTAAAGGTGAGTTTATATATATATATATATATTGTTCTTTGTACGACAGATATATTATTGTGTTACTACAGCATTCTGGACCATTTATCATATTTTTATTTGCTACTTACGAGTATATACATTTATTACGTGTATATACATTTATATGTGTATATCGGTGCGTTCTAAACTAGGATATTAACAGATGTGTGTGTGTGTGTGTGTATGTGCGCTAGTGCGTTATGTGTAGACACGGTACTTCTCGGTAATATATGTACGTATGTATATACATACGTATCCCAATAGGAAATACAATGCATATAGTCAGTGTCTCGCAATGCGAAATATAAGCTAATTATACGGAATAAATGTATATATACATAGTATGTATATGTGCTTTATACTAGATCTCGATCTAGCCAGAAACATATGTATTTATGTGCATTTATATATGTGGCAAATATCAAAATGAAGATATATTATGGTCTTTTCGATTGATTTTGTTTTCGATTTTAGATCATATCGAATTATTATTTTTTTATTTTTAATATAATATTGTAAATAATACTTTTTAATGTAATAAGTTTCTATACTTCTTTTCCATTGCATGTATTTATCTCTGTATATACAGATACAAAGGTGAAAACATTTATGGTTTTTTTTCTTTTTTTTTTTTTTTTTTTTTAATTACAACAAATTATTATATGTATTTATTTCTGATAATGGGTTATTAATGTCTTATTTTCAGTATATATTAACAATAGTATTTTTAATATAACTATTACAACATATACGAGTATTTGTCGTACATATGTGTACAGATACAAAACTAAAAACATTTATGTTCTTTGAAAATGATTCCTCTTGATTTTAGATTACAATAGATTATTTTTATATACACAATCTTATTTTTAATATATATTGCAAATTATACATTTGATTCAAATTTTAATATATTTTTTGTTACAGTGTAGTTTTTGATATTTTTCAAGTTCCACGAATGAAAATTGAATTTTATTAATAAGTAATGATATAGAAACTTATCTTCTTTAATTATCTTCCGTCAAATGTTTTACAGCACTTCAGTGCAATAGAGATACCGGTCGAGTGTATATGCTTCGCATGTGGTAGATAGAAATCACGCATGTCTGAAATTCAAGAGCATGAGATGCACTGCCTGTTGTTCATGGTGAAATACATATACGATGCAAACTGGAAATAATACTATGGCTAGAGACGATGAGTACCGTAGATGGCTAAGGTAGATAGAGCTAATTGGTTAGTCATATGTGTGACTCTGATCCCTGGTGTTTTGTGATGTCAAATTGAAAGTGTTTATAGTATCGAGTATGGAGTTCAATGATAACGAGGACCAATTGTGATTGAATTTAATAGGAATTCTCATTTCAATAATTAAATTTAACAATTCATAAGTTTATAATGAGTTATCATTTTTAAGGGACGATTTTCAATTTGAAAAAGAAGAAGAAGAAGAAGAAAAAAAAAGAAAGAATTGATGTAGTTATATATACGATCATCTACGCATATTTATTACAATTTTCAATGTATTAACGTGTAACCTTTCACTTGGCATAAGTTAAGAGAAAAGTTATATTGGACAGAGAACAATATTATTTCTATGTAATTTTCTATACGATATGTGTAGAAACACGAAACGAGTTTTGGAGTGCGAAATGCCCGACAACAAGAGCTCCGTAAACATCGACACCACTTGTATATTCTGCGAACTGCTGCGTTTGTCGTGGAATCATGACGTCCTGCCTTGTTGGTCGCCTGCCGTTAAAAATCTTATACGAAATTTTTCGTATTTCTCCTATTTTGTGATTTGATCGAATATCACGAAAGTGTAGATCAATATATATATATATATATATATATATATATATATATATATATATATACATATACACACACACTTGGACTGCTTTCGAAACTTATCCCATCAGCATGCTTCTTGTCTTCTTTTTTTTTTTTCAAACACATAACAAATACTTTTTATTTTTCTTCTTTCTCTCTTTTTTTTTCTTTTTTCAAATATTTTTTCATACATGCACATTGAAATACAAATTGGAGATCAATATGAAATAACAATTTAACGAATAAATTCATAGGGAAATTTGTAAAGATTCTATGATAAGACCATCATTTTATTTCTATTAAAACAGTAATAGAAAAAGTATGTGTATATGTGTATATATATATATAGATACAGACCGTGAATCCATAAAACTTTGTGCCCTCTTGGAGGGTTTCTTTCCCTTTCTTTCAACTGTCTGGGGTTGTTCC